CATTGTTTTCTAGCACTGTTTTTGAGCTAATGCCCTTTATCTACACAGCAATTTGTAGCCTTACTTTCTTAAAAAAGTTAGTTGACAAAAGGAAGAAGATAAAGTGAGTAGGAACCAGCTCTCCACAAAGCTCGGTCTGAGTTCTCAAACCTCTGAAGACATTGAGATAGATATTGGGGAGAAGAACTGTGGTTATCTGTTGTTGCATAACAAACAATCAAACAACAACATCAATAGCAAAAATATCTTCCTATGTCTTCACAAATTTGAAACTCACACCTAAAGAGCCGGTTCCTCTCATTACTACAAACATCATCTTCCTTTTAGGGTTTGAAATGTCAGCTAACATTTTCAAATGACACTTTTTTTTCTTTCTTTCTTTTTTTTTTTAAATAAGACTACAAATAGCTGTTTTAAACCAGAGATCCCCCCACTACAGGGACCAGTACCAGCCTGTAGGTCATTTGGTACCGGGCCACAGGGGGACACAGTAAAAAATTCAACTCAATAGATATTATTCGTAAACTCCTGGGAAACATGATGCGAGAAGACCCCCCGCGCTCCCCCCCCAAAAAAAAAGTCACCTGAAGGTCGGGACCCTATCAATGTTTTAGACAACATATGTGACTCATTAAATAATAAATAACGCACTTAAAGAAAACACAAAACAAAACACTACAATATTGGTCTCAAAAATAGCTAACTATCAGTTAAAATAGTTTTTTTTTCAAATGATTTTCTTCATTATTTGCTTTTCTGCTTGCGTCATCCTTTGGGGCAGAGTTGTCTTTTGCCATTTTTGTGAATTATACTGTGGTGCTTTCTAATAGCTGCTTGTAATGTTTCTTAACCTCTACGGCATTTCAGCTTAAACCCCTCTAGCATATGGCACGCTAGGTGATCACCTATGTAGCCTATGCTGAGAGCAGGATCTGCTAAAAGTCAAAACACTTCCACAGAGAGGGTCTCATTTACGACGGAAAACTCTTCACCAATTGCAAAAAAAATACGAAAATACAGCCAGAGGGCAACATCCCTGCCGATGATCACTATTCACTTTTATCATCCCAATAAAATATTATTATTATGTTTTATCTCCAATAATCCCTGCACATCTTTAGCAATGAGGCTCTTTAGCTCACCATGCATCTCGTTGCCCTTCACCGTATACAGGTAGAGCTGCTCAGCCAATCAGAAGGACCGAATGAGACCATGTGACCAAATCTGGGTCAGTTTGGAGTAAGAGAGAGAGAGAAAGAGAGAGAGAGAGGCACTGAAATGCTGATATAGGAGCGGAGCGAATCTGTGAATGACGGCCGACCGGAGTGGAGCTCAGGTAAGCTATGATGTTTAATCTTCATCCTCTGTTTCCATCGTCTCTGTCAGGACAGGAGCTCGCCTGCTCCTGGATAAATTCTCTCTAGGTTGCGTGTAGAACTGCTCCTCCTCCTCCTCTTCCTCCACCTCTTTCTCCTCTTTGCATCCTTGAACAGGACACACTGCGATGCACCGTGTGGGCATTTCCACTCAGCCATCTTCGCGCTGCACCGTGTGGGCATTTCCACTCAGCCCCTCCTCCTCTTCTTCCTCCTCCCCTTCATCCTCCTCCTCCCACTTGTCTCTCAGACACACGGGGTGTCTATTGATAGTTGACAGCAGAAGCCTCCTAATCCCTGCCTCATTTGGCCCAACGCTCCACGGCCGTGTGCGCACCAACCAGAAGGTTGATCTAACTTTATTTTGCTTGCTGGAGACTTGTTTTTAAATTGGTGACGCCTGCAGAGATTGTAAAGCCGTGCACTGGGGGCTTCTTCCGTCTTCTTTTCGGTGCTGCTGCATGCAGCCAAGCAAGCAGAGAGGCAAGAAGCTTTTATGGCTGAATTATTTATAAGGCAGCCTTCCACCCTGCCTGCTCCTTTTCTTGGATGGAGAAGTCAGGGTCAGGATACATTAGCTCTGTCAAATCCTGAATTCTTCTCGTATTAATTACATGTATCTCTCTCTCTCTCTCACATACACACACACACACACTTGAAGCAGCAATTAAACACCGCAGGCTTTGTTTCTCTCGCTGTATTTTTAGTCCTTGAGTCACATTGGGTGCGAAAACTATTACGATTAGACGGCGACGACTGAAAACTGCGGTGATGTGTGAAACTGAAACTGTTTTCACTACAAGTTACTTTTTGGACATTTAACCAATCAGTGAGTCCATCTCTGTCTGTTTAGTCAATAAATACCCAGCATGTAGAAACCACTCTGCAGGGGGTGCTATTGGTGTGATAAAGTGATGTCACAACAATAATGTAGCAATAATTACTAAGTAACTAATCTTGTCTTAACCAAAATACTCTCAACAAGCACAAATGTTGGTCAAAAGCTAAGCTCATCTCTCTGAGTACAAAAGCACTGAGCACCAGCAGATGGAGGAGCTGTACCCCTCCATCAACAACAAGAAATAACTTCAATAAAGCCCAATTATTCTGGGAAGAATGGTCCACAGTAGTTAAGCTATTGCAGCCAGTTGTAACTAAGGATGGAAATCAAGAATGTGTCAAGTTACTAACTGCAGGTGTGTTTGATGTCAACATGTTCAGTTCTGCAGAGGAACAGATATTTTTCAGGCAATCTTGTCAAATGATAAAGCCTGTATGGGAGTGTGCATGGTACTGTATTTTGAAAAACAATCAGTCATCTTGTCCAACATATATAAATTACAGCACTGTGGCATTGGATGAACCAGAGCAGAATTTACTGAAAGTATTTCTCTAACGCATCATTCCTCAAATGTGTGGCTGTAATTTAGTGTTTAAAGAATAAGCAGAGGCAGGTTTTGCTCATTTGATTTACATCATGTTGAAAGCTTATTATAAACGTATTGATCAACACCGCCAAGCAGTCCTGCCTACTGTACTGCTGCAGTTATATATGATGGGCCTCAACGTGATAGGCCATTACTTTTTTTTTTTTTACAGTTAATAGCTTCAACTTAAGGTTCAATAATTATCAAATAGGTTGCTACTATTACTGTGGAAATATTCCTGTACAGCCAGAGTAGGGTACTAGCTATTGTCTTGCCATCAGTCTATAGTAAAGTGTTTTTCAACCTTAGGGTCATAACCCTATGTGGGGTCGCCTGGAATTCAGTTGGGTCACCTAAAATGTCTAGAAAGTGAGACAAACAATTACTGGTAATTGTTCTTCAAAAAATTATTATTTTTAACACCACACAACCTTTTTTTCACTTCCATGATCAAAAAGTAATTCTAGAAAAAATGTGGTCACAAGCCAGAAAAAAAGCACAAAGCAATGGCATTGACCCCCCGCTCCCCTGTATCCCTGAAGTCAGTTTTACCACCTCAGTACTTTGAGTTCAAAACCGTAGAAACTTAGGTTACTGATATTTCAATGGTGATATTATATATTTTATCATAACTATCTGTTACAATCACAATCGATATTTTGGGCAAGTTGAATTGTTATATTGATGATTATAATAAAACAAAATACAACAAGGAGTCATAAGGCCCGAGATATAAAATATTAATTAATATATTTAGGGTAGGGCCAAAAGTGAAAGAACAGGTGTGTTTATATAAGGGTCAAGGGCTGGGGTCAGCTTTGATTTTACCTGGGGTCCTGTACAGGTTAGGGGTCATGGAAGATCACAGCTGATCACCTTCTCTGGAGAGTGGATGATATTACCAGGGACAAGAGCAGCCTGCAGGGCATCGGACTGTGGTCCACTGTAGGTCACTGTAGGTCACTGTGGGTGTGTCCCTCTGGTCTGTTGAGCAGAGAATTTCACAACATTTAATGTTTATCAGCTGCAGCTGGAACTTGTTCTAACATTTAACATTATGCATCAATCAATCTGACCACAAATGAACCCAAAATGAATGAGCAGAACAGACTTCAAACAGGCCACTTAGTATTATAGGTTACAAAGAAGGGATTTTATTTCAGTTGTGTTTTCTTGTGTTGTGAACAGAACATTTCTTAAGGTTCTGACACTTTGTGTCTTTCTCATCCACAAAAAGTGCCAGCTCCTTAACTATCTCAGAAAAAAACAGAGTGGACAACAGTGGAAGGCAAGAAGAAGTGTTTTTAAAACTCCTCTGACTGTACCCTTAGTTTGATTTGAGGCATTACAAAGACATGTAAGTAATAAATAAACAAATAAATACATTTTAGCTAATATTTATTGCTAATTTTCACTCATTCGTTCATCTTCTACTGCTTGGTTTGTCTCATGGCTGCAGGCTGGGTGTACCGGAGCAGTCACCAGGTAAAGGCTGTAGACAAACTGGAAACTTCAGCAGTCCATTCACCATTCACACCAACATTCACACCCACGGTCATAAATATTATAGGATAAATGTATTATTCACACAATTTGCATCAATATTCAAAGAGGAAATGCACAGTCTATATTTTCACATTTTACCTCTCTATTCCGCTCTCTTTCTCACCCTTTGCTTCCCCCTCCCTCTGTCTCTCACCCACTTCTCTCATTATTTCCCATCTTTTTCCACACGCTCTGTGCCTTTCACTTTCACCTTTTCTCATTCTCTCCTTCTGGCCCTCTCTCCTTCTCCCATCTTTTTCCACACGCTCTGTACCTTTCTCTTTCACCTTTTCTCATTCTCTCCTTCTCCCCCTTTTCTCTCTCACCTCTATTGCCCTTACTACCTATTACTCTCTGTCTCTGTTGTCTTCCCCTCTTTCAAACTCTCACTCTCCCTTCTTCCTCTCATTTTTTCCCTCTTACCCTTTCTCACTCACCTTTTCTTTTCTGTTCTCTCTCACCGGTAGGCGCCCCCCTCCCCCCATATATGTCTCTCTCTCTCTCTCTTTTCCTCACTCAATTCCCCTCTTTTTCTCCCTTCTTTTTTCGTGTCTGGTCCCCTGTGTCCTCTCTTTTTTTCCTCTTTCTTTCTCACCAGTAGGCGGCTCTCTCTCCCTCCTCTCTCGCTCCCTCCCCCTCTGGTTACCGCTGTCAGTGCAGCTTCAGTCTGAGTCTTGTCCTGCTCTCGATCGGACGCTGACAGCTCGGCTCAGCTCAGCTCAGATCTGCTGCCCCTGGGATATTTGCTCCAGTTTGGATTTCTATAATATTTCTGTGTGCCATTGAAGAAGACTTCTTCTCCTCAACAACAGCACTGTAAGTTCTCTATTATTCGCTTGATTCATTACAACCAGTGTCACACACGGAGGCTGCCCCTGCGTGTGTGAGCGCTGTCACCCCCTGAGAGGGAACCATCCCGAGGTACAAGTTTGGAACCATTAACTCTCCATCTTTTTTGCATTTTAATTATCGTTTGACTTTGTCTCAGCCTACATTAGTCTTCATTCGTCTTCATCGTCGTCGGCTTCTCTGGTTTCCTTATTGAAACAGAAGCCAAAATAAAGAGGAAGTTTCCACGTGATTTAACAGACACGGCTCCGCTGGTGTTGTCGCAGTGTTTACAGAAGACTTTTGTCTAAAAACTGTGTTTTTGGGTTGACACGGAGCAGGAAAATGATGCGGAGGAGATGAGGAGCAGTTCGCGGCTCATCTCTCCCACAGAGCAGGTGTCTAACAGCACTTCCGCACTGACAAGTACAGTGTGGACCGTGTGTGAAGGCAGCAAATACGTCCTAAATAATGTCAAATGTCTCCTTCAACCCACGTTATATTCACACCGTCTTCCTTCTAACATTTTAACATTTCTAAACTATCCAGTGAAAGCCAAGTTATGACGTGGTTCATGCCGGTGCTGCTTTACCTTCTGTAGCTGGGCACGCTTGACGGTTGTTTCTGTCTCTGCGCGTGCGTGCTTATATGCGCGCACACGGTCGTGCGATTGCGTGTGCTTTTAATTTTTGATTTTATATGTATTTCTATAATTTATAATTTATAATAACAAAAGGACAAACAAGAAACAAATCAATGTAGGCTCAATAATAGCTCCAACGCAAATTACAGCCAAAGTGGAGTGGTACAAAAACCTAACAATTGTACCAAAATGTACAATACACGTATCTCTATAAATAGACAAATGTTATAGGAATTTAGCAAGGAGTAGTATATGTATAGTTTGAGAGCTAGAGTATTGGCATTAATCTGAACAGTGCTGTGGTGACAACTAATAAAGAAACAAGCTGAATGTGCTTCTTCTTCAAAACATGTTAGCAAAGAATTTGCTAACACCATACCAACTAACCAACATACCAACGCATACAAATAGTATTTGCCAAAATGATAGCCACAAGATATTGTGTGTTTTTGTGTGTCTTGATGTGCATCACTGGAGTGCAGTAGAATGGTACAGAAATGTTAATGCCATTAAAGCCTAAAGTTTTGCTAAAATTGCACACAAAACATATCTACATACAGCATACTCCCAGAAATGGCTTTATGTTTACCAGACATGAAGTAAATATAGCTGTATTCTATCTCTGTAAAGGTTTATACACATTTAATAATAGTCTTTTAAAGCATTTACAGTTTTCCAAAATAATAGCTTCAAGTTGTTATTTGCTTAAAAGGAGTTTTGTTCCTACCTCCTCTCTAAAGTTTTGGAAAAGTGGATATTTTTTTGTTCCTGTGAGCTCAAAATTTTGGAAGTGCAGGATCCTACTGTATCTAGGAGAAGTGTTTGAAATCTCTGATTGCCTGCTTACAGTATTGGCTAAAAATGCTTTGAAAAAAAAGGTAAGTTTTTCACATGCACAAATAAAACCTGGGATCATTTATTTACTTTAATGAGATTTAGTTGAAGTTTTGAAAGTGTAAAAACCTTTAGGGATTTTTGGATGTAGAATATGGCAAAAATGAATAAAAGATTGAGCTAAATCTTATCTAAAGGTAGTTAAATGTGTACAGTTTGGAGAGGCTTATTTAGGTTATGTTTGAAGCAACGTGATTGCAAAGCATAGGGTCCTTAGAAGAATAGGTTTGCCAGTGTGTGTGTGTGTGTGTGTGAGAGAGAGAGAGACAGAGAGAAAGACAGAGAGAGACAGAGATCTCACATGACAGAGCAGGTAGGTGTCGTGGACCTTTGTACGACATAACAGGAAAAAAAAATGAAGGCGTAAGTTTACGATGAATGGCACATGTTTATGTTTGTCAGGCAGCTGCTCCAGCAGGAACAGAGAGCAACAGCAGATCAACATCAGCATTTCCTCCTGCAACCCACTCAAATGCACGCACGCACACACACACACACACACACACAGAGGCGCCTCGTGGTGAGGCGAGTGTACTCGTGTTTTGTTATATGAA